TTTCTTCATTCAATTATCTACATAATAAATTCATGTTACACTACCTATTGTCACTATCCAGTTAATTTAAGATTTAATAAAATCAATTATTCTTATTTTAACTTTATATTAATTATCTAATTTAAGTAATATAGTATATCTAAACTTAAGTAACTTATGCAAGCGACAGTATTCTTTTACAATCTTATTACACATACAAACAAAAGTTCGATCAATATTATTGCATTATTTAATTTAAATATATGATCCGAATTGCAACTCCTCCATCACCGAAAATTTTGATCTCAGAAGCTAGTGTCATGTGTTCAAAAAATTTATCGCAACTTACACAAATAATGCAGAATTACATATTTATGTATAATATAGCCTTTTTGGTTCATCTTATTGGTTCGCCTTTTTGGTTTGCCTTTTTGGTTCGCCTTTTTTTTTGTATAACCATTTGACAAATATTTGCAGTCAAGGATTTTACGTGATATAGAAATGATCTGCAATACTAAAAGGTTATTTAAAACCGATTTCTATTTTTAAAAAAAGCATTTTTTATCTAAAAATAACAATCAGTTTTAAAAAAACCTTTAAAATATTCTTGCAAAAGTCATCACTGGTCGAAAAAAAATAAATCAGTAGAAAAATCAGTAGCAAATCATTAGCAATTCAGTATTCAGTAATAATTCAGATACTGATTCAGTATCTGAATTATTACTGGTTTATTAATGAGGCCTTAAAAGGCGTTTGTGTGTGTCAAATAACAACCAGCCAATAAAAAAGAATTTTCCGATTGAAGATCGTTTACCAAAAGGAGAAATGATCTACAATACAATTTTTGAAAAGTATTTCAGTATTTGTCTAACGTTAAGCTAAAAGACTTATCGGATTAGTGCTCTTGTTTATTGTTCGAAGAGAAGAGCTGAGGACATGCTGTCATTTAATTTCTTACTCATATTTATCTAATCTATAAATATAACGGTCATTTATTATTTGAAGTACTTAAAATGTTACAGTAGTTTTAAAACAGGTTATTCACTTTTTTGTTTACGTAGTATGAAAATTAATCGGGAATTACCTGTATATATAACATTTATTATTACTTAAAAATTTTTCTACATCAATAAACTTTAATTCCCATTGATGTTCAAACGCCTAATTAATAAATTAAAAAATAAATTTATAAATTTGCATACAAATTCAAATGATATTTTGAATTAATTATAAAACTCCGAAAATCCGATATAATGTTGTTTTTACGAAAAAGTTCGACGAAAACGAAACTTTGGATTTCCTCTTTAGTTTTAGTGATAGGACTCACTTTATTTATTACAGGATATTATGTAAAAAGTAACTTTAAGGGTTTCTCCGTGCTAGATTTTTCAGTGTATAAAGGTATGTAAATTTTAAGATTAACGATTTTAGTCATAGCATGCATTTTCTTAGAATAAAAGATGTGGTGTAAATGGTCTAGCTTTGATAATGCTGAAAATTTGCCGTTCACCGCTTTTTAAAAATTAGATTCTCTCTATAATGAAAGTTTTATATTTTTTTTCAATTAAATTTTAGGAAAACAAAAAGTGCCAAAAGTATTACACTATGTATATGCTAATGATGATCCAGCAAATTTAACGTTTTCTTTTAAGTATTGGCTTGCCATGACTTCAGCCATTGAGACTATTAAGCCGGAAAAAACATTATTTCATTGCATTCATGAACCAAAAAGTTACTGGTATCAGCTCATAAAGCCTAAAATAACCATTACAAAAACACGAAAAGTTACAGAGATTTTCGGCAACCCTATAAAAGTACTTCAGCACAAAGCAGATATTATTCGACTTGAGGTGATGCGAGATTATGGGGGCATTTATTTAGATCTTGATGTGATAGTTTTTAAGCCATTTGATGATCTTCTTTATAATGACTTTACTATGGGGATCCAAAAGGATGTCGGTCTTTGTAATGCAGTAATTATCAGCAGGCCATTTGCTCCTTTTATAACCAGATGGATACAACAGTATAAAAACTTTAATGACAGTGACTGGGATTATCATTCAGTTAAGTTGCCTTGGATTATGGCTAAAGAATATCCAGATGATATCAATATTTTGGACGAGAAAGCATTTTTTTGGCCGACTTGGTCTGTAGAGGATCTGGAAATGATGTATAAATCAAATGATTATAATTTCACCAATCACCAGTACACATATCATATGTGGGCATCAGCGTGGGGTGGTAAATATAATTTATTCCCAACATCGATTAAAAATGTGGAAACGAGTTTTAATAGAGCGGTTCGAAAGTTTTTAAAATATTTACCTGACAACTTTAATGAAACGGACTTTAACGAATGAACGGAGCAAAATTTAAAAAGTTATGGGAATCTAGTGTTGGGTTTATTATAGAAATTTGTAATCTTGGGAACATAGCAACTATAATGCATACATACAGTGCTCGTCAAAAGTTTCCTGCATCTTATCATGATATGATAAAGCTTTATAGTTTTAAATTGTTTTTGAATAGATAATATAAAATATATCTGGTTGCTATAAAGATTTTTGTATTTTTACAATCATTATAACGAAATTTG